TGTACTAATATCCCCGCCGCCATTTTCTGCGATATTAAAGATTAGATTGCATCAGGGTGCAAGTAGTTTTGCAGATATAAAACATTAATTAGTTTATTTATATAAATTATTTAATATTATTCACACAGATAAGAGAAAAATTTAATAGAATTGTCATTTCTAATTATTTTCAATCTAATTCTAATTCTAAAACCTCGAATATAATAATTATATAGTTGCTGTATGTATGTAATAAAGTGTTGATACAATTAATAATTATCAGTTATTTATTTTAAAGAATATTTCATCGAGCATACTTTACATCAAGATTAAAATCGTCGATTAAATATCCTGAAAATAAGTAATTACCCAATAATTGTTTGTGATGCAAAACGATCGTGACAAACTCGAATTTAAGCAAACTGCGATGAAAAAATGATGAAAAATCGTTCCGATTCGGCTCGAGAAGCGCAAGAAATGTTCGGGAAGTGATAAACGGATACAATCAATAGTACATGACTTCGTTGATATGTCTACTTAACCGCAATCTTATTATTGTACGTCCACCCTATACAACATTCAACAATCTCGATGGGAGACACTCGTATTTATACAGAAAAAGAAAATCACAGGCTTTTATAACACACGCCAGACATGATAGTAGAATTTATAATACAAAAATCTATTAGTAGTTAAAATATTATTATTATTATCATTATCATTATTGTTTAAAGATTTGTCTTGTAGCTTCCGAAGCTACAAGGCAAGGACCACATCGCGATGGTTACCCGTTCCAGGTCGCTTTCTGATTATTATTATTATTATCATCATCGTCATCATCATCATCATTATCATTAACATTATCATTATTATTATCATTATTATTATAAATAGAACAGAATTGTAAAGAATAAATGTATGAAAAAATATTGAAAAAAAGAAATTTAGTCGTGAAGTACTACAAGATATTGAAATACTGCAAGTTTCTGTACCTATATAAAAAATGTATTATTTAGCAATATAAATAATTTGTTTTAAATAAATAAGAGCAATAGCCAGTAAAGTTATTTATGTTGATCTCTAGTCTGGTAAAGTATATTATACCAATATACTTTCGATATGCTATAAAAGTCTGTGAAAAAACCTTCATTCTTACAATCTTCAATAATCTTGTGTCAAGGATAATTTCTTAAGTGCCTGATTTCCTCGTTTCGATATAATAATTCCGGGAATTATTAATTGTCGGTAAATCTTCAATTGACTTAATGTATTAAAATTTTAATAATCTTCTAAGTTTTCGAAACCATCACACTTCTTAAAATTAAAGAGATTCTTTAATACCAGGTACTGAAATCAGAGATTCCAAATTTTGGAAATTAAAAGTACATCTTTAGATTCACTTTTAGATTCGATTCCAGGGATTTTGGATTTTTAGAGGAGCTTAATTTCGTATCCTTGAGGAATTAAATTTGTAAACTTTATGTATCCTTAATTTATGTATATTCTGGGTCTTATATATTTCATCTATAGAGCGTATTATAAATCGATGATGAATCCTTAGATTTCTAAATTTTACTGTCCAATATATCAAATCCCCGCAAATTACTTTAAAATTTATTTAAAAAGTTAAAAATAGATTTATTTAAACAGATTGTGTGAAATTTATACAAATGAGTTTCCAGATTCTAGAAAAACATGATTCTAGATCCTTGGTTATTAATTCTTTCAATAATTTTTATACTAATTTCATTTAAATGAAAGTGCCCCTGGATTCTTGGAAACTCACAACTTCTTTATATTCGCTCCTTTTCATTTTTTTTAAACATTTATATTCTGAGCAATGATATGAATGATCATTTAGATATGCTATTGCTTTTGAGAAACAAAAAAATCAGGCTGTACACATTGACGCTTTTTGCTACCTTAAATTTACTTGCGTTAAAGAATACGAATCGTATAAAACAGCTAGAATGGCCGCCCATTGAATTATCAAGGGACCTTCTATTTCACGCGTTTTTTTTTTTAAGGTTTTACTTAAATTATAAACAATGTTGTAATAGTTGGGAACGCGATAATTTTAGCGATTCATATTCATTTCTATTTTTGTCCAACAACTGTTCTCAGATAAATATATTACGAATGTACAAATTATACTTAAAATATTATTATTTTGTAACAGATCAAAAATTATATGTTATAAAATACTTGAAAAAAATTTTATGGAACAATTCTTTTTGAGGTATATAATAAATCGTTCTTCTAATTTAACACACTCGATTCCCTCGATTTGCACCCGCACAACGTATATTCTTTTTTGTTTCTTAGAAAAAGCAATCATCTATACTTTTAACAGATTATATTCTTCAAATATGCTTTTGTGTTTCTGCTCTAAAATAAAATTCAATTTTTTGTTTTACACCAAAAATGCAGTTCTTGACAAGTTTTCAAATATTGACCCTATCGAATTCTCAAAAATTTAAAAGTGTTGGAACTTATTTTTAATTTTCGTTCACTGATGCGAAGATGAAGGATTCTAAATATATAAGTCAACCCCGATTTTCGTCTCGCCTCGCCACGAAACGGCCGCCAAGAGGATATTTCCATTTTGTCTGGCTGAGATCGATGGCGATCGCCTCACCATTCTCGAGTACAATTCCGAGAAAGTATTTTGGCCGAGAAACGCGCAGGATATTCCAACTTCCGTGAACTCACTCGAGGCGCTTTGACTGTGGGCAGGAGGGGGAGTGACATAAATATCGTCTTACCGAAACGAAACACGTTATCTCGCGGAAAGTTCTCGCTGGAAGATCAAGGAAGTAAACTCTTTAAGTCCTTTCCAGGTGTTCCCAACTCTGTGGACTTTAGTATCGTACGACGCACGTTTCGAAATTTTTCGGAAAAACGAGAACGAAGCTGACTAGAAATATCTGTGCAAAATTTAATATTCTCCTTCGTTATGTGGAGCCTGGCCGATTGAGAGAAGCTCGTTTTTACAAAGTCCAATCATCACAAAAATTACACTTTTCAATTATGTAATTTTTATTATAGAATATATTTAACAATCCGGCAAACTGAATGTGCTAATCATAATTTACTACAATTGAATTATCAGCCTCACTTTCATTATTTCCGCGTTGTAAAATACACACACATTTGCAATACGTTTTGATAAAACTTGTTCAGAATAATAAACAATATCGTGTCCTTTCCTGTTTTATTTTACTACTTATTATTTAAGTGAGTTTAAAGGAATGTATATTTTGCAAGCCTTCGAGAGAAGTGGAAGGTCGAACACCAATGAGCGGCTCATTGTTTGTCAATAATGACTACGTTTTCACCGCGCACAATGCCAAAGTCCCACTTTTATATTACATTGACAGAAATGTGGCGTTAAATGTCACAGGGACACTATTAATTTTCAATATTACGATATCCTACAATAAATTCTATCATTAATGTGGTGTTCAACATTCTGCCATAATATAATACCACATAATCTTAAATATAATTATACGATGGGTATCTATTTTTACGTCAAATGTATGATATCTGAATGAGAATTAGATTTTGGGACTAGAATTTGGCCATGAATAACGCTAAATGTACGGTGAAAACATAGACTTTATTATGATTAGCTTCTACTTTTATAACGAGTTTGTCACACGTTTCTTCTAAGTGTGTCTCAATCGTGCGTGTGATCAGGATTATCACAATGTTTAAACGACGAAGAAAAACTCTTAAACTCTATGTGAAACATTTTGCAGAACATTTTATGTTACAAAATGGTTGAGAAATAATGTTGACAAAAATGAGGCGTAATTAACGATAATTAAAATCAATTGAAAATTATTAATTTATCCAAATATCAGGCAATTTATGTGAATATTAACTATCTAAAGTTTATCAAGTTATAAAATACCTCATCAGTACAACATTTATGAATAATATATTAATAAAAAAAATTAATACATATAAAATATAAATTAATAAAATTAAAAATATTTAAAATTATCTATTAAAACATCGTAATTTAATTAAAGAGATTTAATTAACTGAATTAAATTAAAATTAATATCAAAATATTTATGCAATAAAATTAGAGCATAGATTCATACATTATATCTTGTCCACCAAACGTTTTATTATATATATTTTAGTTATTAAATAAAGAATTTTAAATAAAATCCTACATTAAAAAATGTAATTTAATAATAAAATATCTTCTCTCGCGCGTAGCAGATAAAAGTATTTTTCATCAAGATATAATTTCACACACCATTATTTCTCAAAACTCAAGTTATACAAATTGTATTTAAAAGCAGGAATGTATTAACGGATCGTAGTCGTCATTTAAACAATCGCGTTGTCTGATTTCCATGCTCGTTACAATCATCGCAACATCCGACATTGGATTAATGAATATTTATCGATAATCTGTCGAATCAGTTCTTTGCGATTAGTCTTACTTAGGGTTAGGTAAGTAGTTAATTAAATTAGTTACTTAGGCGCACTGATCAGCGGCGTGGGTGTTTTTCTTCACCTTTCCGCTTCTCCGTCCTTGTCACGTATCGTACTTTCTTCGATATATCGTCTCGTGGATGGCTTCGTATCAATTATCGTCGAAAATAAAAAGAAGAAAAAGGACTGTTACCAAGTTTTTAATGATCGTCTCGAGTCGACTTATCGCAATCGAGTTTCTCGATGAAGATCTTCAAAAAACATGGACTGTCAAAATTATAAATGTACAGTCTTCTTTTCATCTTGCTTATACCTCTTTAACGAGATACTGGAATCCTTGGACCGAGTCCGAGAATTCTACGATGTGTGCAATTTGTAACTTTGCATCTTTGTTAAAAAATCTAGGCCGTTTTTTAAATATTTACGAGCTTATGTGTTAAATTTGATTTCAACATTATAAATATTTGAATCTTTGATACAGTTCTTGACGCATTACATATTAAAACAAACAATAATTTAAAGATTCAGAATCGTAAATAATGAAATCAATTCTTTCAAATATTCTAAAATTTTCTTCAGTTCTTGAAATTTTTTAAATTGCCTTTAAAAATTCTCAAATTTTATAATTTAACATTTTAAAACACTACAGTATCTAAAACGTTAAATAACTGGTATTTAATGCTTTCATTTTTCACTTTCAGATTTAAAAGAAAAATTAAATATTTAGTGTAGTCAAGTTTTATCTCGATTTCAAATTCATAATTTTATAGAATCCTCGGATTGTTATTCTGTCCGAATTCATTATTCTATTCTCACTCATTCCTAAACTGTTACACTATTATTCTGTTTTATTTACTTCAAATCTCTCTTTTCTCCACATTCCAAAGCTTCGCAATTGGAATAGGGTGCTGCACGCGATGCGAAACCTTTGACAAGGATAGTCCTTACGTTTCTTATCCATTAGGATGTTTCTTGGCTCATCAAGGTTCTATTATTTGTTACTTCGAATCCTCGAAGAAAAAAAATCAATTTTTTCTTTCTCACTGCGACTTTTTCTAGTTCAATGAAGAAAGACGCTGGTAACAGACCTGGTAGTGTGAGGAGGCAAATCGGGGGCCTCTGTAAGGGCCCCCTCGTGCCCCTATGCACTCAGACCGAGCCGATGAATCTTTGCCGAAAGGAAGTTGTGCAGGACGAACACGATTGGTTTCGGACAGCTCTCCAAATCAAGCTCCTACAATAGTATTAATCGATACTTCTTACTTACTGACGGAAGCTGATGGCATACTTAACTTTCCTAGTTTTTAAGAAAATGTCTAATTTTTAACTAATCCAATTTTAAGTATCTATGGATTCAAAACGAGTGAGAAAACAGTTTTTTAGAGACTAAGAACAGCGAGCCATTTTTCATCATTAATAAAAAACGATGGTCTTACATAGTAAAGAACTATGTCGTACAAGTAACTACGTTGAATGATGTAAGTTGAAAGGAACGAGGAAATTTACGATTACAGCAAACTTTCCTTCGTTTCACAAACTTGTTCCTAAATTTATGACGCTCGGACCTATTCCTCGAAACGTTAACTTTTTCGCGATCTTTTTGATTTTAAAAATTCATATGTCTATCAAATACTCACAATTTCGCCATCTTCGCCTCCAAAATCGAGCCACAGAAGACGGGCGCCGTCGTCCGCGGACATTTTCAATTTGTCGAAGGATCTTCTCCAGAGCGGCGTGGGTGGTGATCCAGGACTTACGCCGTTCCCGGCAGTGCCCCGCGTTCCTGCGGAGTAAAGCGCGAAACCTTCTTCGTGGTTGACAACCAACTGACAGGCCTTACTTTGCCATGTGCAACCTATAACACGCACGAAATATCACAAAATTAAAATAACAGTAGACAAAAGTAAAAATCTATTCAGCCTATCCTAAACTGATTCTACTCAATCTAGTAAAATCTAAATATTTTTCTATATTTTCTAAATACTTTTTTATATTTTATTTCTATATCTTATATTAACATATGAAATAAAAGAATAAAAATTGGTAGGCTGGATTTTTAAATTTATTTTTAATTATCATAATCGTAATTATATAACTACTTTTAATCTTCAAGTAAGTTTCTTGCAACATACTATTTTTTATGAGACAGCCTGTATATAGTTTTCCATTGCGCGTTTCTGCCGCATCGCTATCCACGGTTCTTTATCATCGATGAGTTCGACGCGAGACGCGAACAAAAAGACGCGTATGAAACGGGCGAGGCATTCATCTCGATTTATTATTGCCGTTCGTCCTCGCTGAAAAGAAATTAAAATTCATCGAACCGAACGCGGAAAATGACGAGAGTGTAGATGTCGACTATCATCCACTGCTGTATAACTTACATAGAAAAAGAACTCGGGTTCACTATTTCCTCAAGTATTTCATGCTACGCATTTCTATCTCATCTACATAATTTTTAATGACTATTTATCAGTCTTATTTTTTCAATTCTCCAGTTTTTGTTTTTGCAAATAAATTACTATTTTAAATATGATTATTCTAAAAAACTGAAGAATTCAGCTTTTTTTAAATTACATGATTAATTTTAGTTAACATGTGAGGTTACTTACGAACGGTATATTCCCGCAAGGAATGAGCAGCCGCGTGGCATCCCTGAACGATCGCCCGTGCCCAGGCCGCCAGATCTCTTCGTGTTTCAGCTCGTAAATGATGCGTGACTACCCCGTCCATCGTGCCAACCCGAACCGCGAACGTCGCCCCGTGTTGAGTCGAACCGCTACTGCTACTCGCTGCTTCATTCTGTCGCGTTGGAGAGGAGACCAGTCTGAAATCACATTCCATTCGAATCCCATTTAAATTCTCAAATTATGATTTTTATGAAAGTCGTTAAACGCGCGTTAAACTGCACACTATATGTCGGCCTTTTTAAAGCTGAATACAACAAAACGTTGCGTTCCAAGTTCTCACTCCACGCGTGCATCTAATGTAAAGATGCGGTTTTTACATTAGATCGATAGCAAGCTTCTCTAGAATGAAGATTGAAGATTCCACGGAGGTAGGAAAATCACGTGACATCGCTCTTGGGATGTCGGGAAAAAAAAGCGGCGACCTTTATCGAAACGATCGAAGCGCCTTGTAGCGAGTCACGGTATGGATTCATTCCCGTCGTCCCTTCATCCCTCTCCCAGCGGGTAGGTAAATTACCTCGTCATCCGGCTGGCCTCGCTCGTAAAATCGTCGCGGCTTTATTGCATGTGGGACGAAGCTGCAGTGTTCACCTGACACGGGTTCGGCCACGTATGCACCCCTTCTCCCCCAAGTTCCCCAACCCTCCTCGAATCCATTCCCTCCCACCAATCTGCCCGCTGACGAATGGTCCTGACGTTCGCGAGCCCGCGCGCTAGATTTATAGATTTTTTCGAGGGACACTGGCGAGCTCGGGAAAAAAAGAAAAACAAGGAGTGATAGAAAGAACACCCTACGCAATAGAGGACGCAGAACGGACGCAAAAAATAGCACACTTGGACTAGAAAAAATGTCCGCCCCCGGCATTATTCGACATGCCTAACGGTCGCCCCGGGCCTTTTCCGCTCCAATGCTAATGGTTGTCTACTGTACCGAGATGTAGTTGAGTTTCCGTGACAAAGTAAAGTATCTAGGTTGCTAAAATTACATTGCCCCAAACAATTAAAGGACGTGTACAATAGAGAGAGAGTCGAAGAAATATTAATTTATCAGCAATTATGCAGCTAAAATATTGTTTCTAAGTTCAGAATAGATATTATTTATTTAATAATCAATATCTAAATGAAGACATTTAAAATAAGAATCCTTTAAATATTTAATTATCTTTAGATATGTGTATATATTAATCTGCTCTCTCTCTCTCTCTCTATTTTTCTATTTTATCTTTAAATTTTATATCTATTCTTTAGGAACTAATCTTGTAAATCTGTTTAAAATAATGTATTCTTTCATACACTGCCTAGCCGAAATATGTAGATCTTAACTATTATTTGTTAGATTCTTAATTATCGCTAAGGTTCGAAATAATTTGAGTTCTCTAGGCTCAATGGATATTCATTGGCCATTATCGCGAGCGCTTCGGGAGGACAGTGAAAAAAAAAGCAATAGCAAAAAGCGCGACTGGAGAAAATTCCGATAAGCGGGAGGAAGTTGGAGAGACAGCCGCAAACGGTAAATAAAAGCGTTAAACGAGAATGGATGTTCGTCGGCGGCCGTAATCCGACGAAAAAGCCCGCAGGAAGAAAAGAAAGTTTCCCTCGGGATAGCCGAATCACTTCCGGTTTGTCTCGCAGTAAAACTTCCTTAAGTCGGCCATTTCGCGTTCTCGCGTCGGGCCCGATACAGGCCCCGTCGACCGGAAATAGAACTTCCCGACATGTTCCGCTCTTTTCACGCGTCTTTCAGCTTTTTCGTTTCTTTGCCCATCGAATGGAAACTTGAAGAAAACGATGTCTGAATGTTTGGTGACGGAAAAAGAAAATGATTAATAGCGACAACATGTAACTCGAGGAAAATTTCTTCTCCGTGCAATATTGATCGAATGTTCTGTTTTAAAACTTGATTATGTATTAAAAATTCCAGCTTTAATTCTAGCTTTAAGATTTACGACGTATAAAAGTGTACAATTAAGTTTTTAATCAATTTTATGATTAAATGAAAAAACTCAAATGAAAACAGTTAGATAATTAAAAATATTTAATAAGAACCAATTTTAATAATAAATATTAATCCAGTAGAATAACACAATAAGTAAATTTCTATTGTAAATAATTCAATACTATTTGTGTTGCTTTATTGTTAATTAAACATGATACGCAAGTTTAATTGGCAATATAAATAGCAATGACTTATAAATCAAATAAATGAAATGTAAATAATTTCCTATAATAATTTGCTCCTTATTTTCTGATAATATTAAATAAAAAATCATCAAGATATTTTAGCATTTTATCTCTTAATGCGTATAAATGATGTTTCTAATTTCTCTACCTCAACAATGGTAAACAAGTAGATTTCTTATTTTATTGTATAGTATCTTTGTTCGAGAAAAAAAATAATACTCAGAATGTTCTATATATTCTGTATATAACAGACACGATAAAAACAGAAGCGCGGGCTCGTAAGCTGCCACGAACGATCGATGCACATTCCCTCTAGTCTTTTTCACTTAAAATTTAAACGAGGCTTAGCTGGATCACCGATCATTCAAACAGCGTGACTGCCTGACACCACATTTAAGCCGCTCGAAAACGCCAGGCTCATCGTTAAAAATGAAGCTGACGTTAATTCGCAACAACGATGCGCGGGAAAGTTTAACGCGATATTATAAAATAATACAACGAGACATTTCCGGCGTTATGCAATACATAACTTTCGCTCTGGACGCTTAATTTTTCTGCATATTTGCAAAGTATTTTCTGTATATTTGAAATCTTTAAAGTACATATTAAACAATACTTTTTACATATCTATGCACGCACGCACGCACACACACACACATAATATAAAAAATAAAACATGCATAAACTATATTATTAATAAAATAAATCAACAACATTTAAAAAATAACATATTCTTTTATTTATTTGCAAATTTAATTATACGCTATTTAAATTTCTTACAAAAAATCAATCAAAGTAAAAAAAATATTCCTTAAGCTTGATATCAAACGAAACATTCTATATAAAAATACATTCAAAGAGACAGAAAAAATGTTTCAGAAAAAAAATTCGATAGAGAGAGAAAAAAACATTCAGACTAAAAAACGTTTATATTTAAAAATCTCTGCTCTCTTCTTTCATTCTTATTGATTAATATATCATTGCTTTATTAAATTTACTCATTTAAATTCTAGTTTAAAGCACAAGAAACTGAATATCAAAACTTGATAAATAAATCGATAATAATAAATCTGGTATATTTTTCTTTTATAGTTCGTTATGTACAGAAACTTTGTAACTACATATTTATAAATTTTAAAACTATTTATAACTGTTTTATTCAAACACTTAACAGCTATTAATAAGTTTTTTTATTAAACTTAGTATTAAAATTGAAATTAATACTTAACATTAAAAATAATATTCAAATTAGATATTATGTAAATAAAAAAATCGATTATTTCAATATTTATCACTTAAATTAAAATTAAATGACTTTTTCAACAACTTTATATATGCAACGCATACCTATATAAAAATATCGTTCATTTTAAAAATACCTAACAGCGTTCGTTGGCGAGAAATAGCGCGGGATATTAAATCGCGGAAAATCTGCGATAAAATCCGATTAAGACGCGAGATTTCGTCATGACGAGTATCGACTTTCGGCACAATCCCATTAGCTCAGTCGCAGCAACTATATTTGCCGATCACCGGCGTTGAAATTCACTGTGAATTATCAATAATTCGATTTGTGTCAGCAGCATCCGCGTTTACATAACATCCTTCACATTTACCTCCATTATGGATTATATACGCAATTTATTCTTGCGCGATTGTAAATCGAAATCAATTGACAGCTAGAATTATGCAGGATTCAAAAATATATACTGCCAACAATAAGACAACTATTTTGGTGATTTTCTTTTCTTATATCTTTAATTAGACAAATACTATTTTGGTAAATGTTCATAAAACTAATCCTTATCGACATTTTACTGGCGTCATATCTATATTTGAAACAAGTCATATTGCCATTTATTCGCAGCTGAAATAGAGATCGATATAAGAAGCCATCTTATGTGTCTCGAACCGCAGGCCGAAGGGCCAATCGGGGAATAAGGAAGAAGAGGCGAAGGGACGATGGTTGTAGGATAGGGAGAGGATGCGCCGCGAGCAAAATCCTGAACTCGTTCCGAATATCGTACCTCGATTGCACGCGCGATCGGAAACTGTCGACGACACCTTCGATAATTAATGTCTACCCCGGAGGATTTAATTGATCCAGTTCACCGTTCGATTATCGGGACCCCATCTTTCATACCCCGTCCTACCCCTTCTCCGCCGCAACCTCCCCTACTCCTTTTTCAGTTGCTCTTATCTGGTCCTTATCCGCCTAGTCGACTCTATCTCTATGGCCTTTAATTTACTATGGCAGACAATTATGAATCTTATTAAGCCAACGAGAAAAGCACGGTAAAGACATATTATGTTTAAGAATGTAAACGTTCTAAAGATGCAAGATACAAAGAATCTTGATATTAATAATTCAAGAAATAATAGTAATATACTTAAAAGTTAATTATTATACAAAATTGCACGCGTGTACATACACATAATCCAGCATAAAAGGTTTGTATAAAGTTAAATTCCAATAATTATTTTGTGTGCGTGTGCGTGTGCGTGTGCGTGTGCGTGTGTGTGGGTGGGTTGTGTAAAAGCTATAAAAACACCAAATATAATTTTAAAAATAATAATATCAATATTTTTCATAATTATTAATAGACCATTTTTAAAAATAATTTTTAAATAGCTCGCATTTTAAATAAAAAACTTAAAATTTAATCAAATATTTCGTCGAAACTGTCTGAGAGCTGTAAAATAAATGAAACAGGGACAAATAATAAATGATAAATGCTTAAATAAATTAAAAGTCAATTCACTGCTACTAGATTTTCTTTGCAGTGAGAGTTTTGTGACGTGGAAGATTCGATGAGTTACGAACGCTAGAAAATATTTCTCCCTGCGGAATGTCCGTCGCTTTTTTTCAACGTTCGTTTTCCCTGCTCTTTGAACCGGCTTTTCTTCCGGCTGCCGTGGAAAGGCGACCGTTTGTCACCGGACATCGTGAAGAGGA